TAAAATTATAACCTAATTTTGTTACGCATTGTCCAGCTGTATTTAAATATGTCGTATTATCACATGAACAAGTAAGCTGAGCAGTTGTATAGGTCTGGGTAGGAAGAGTTTGGCATTTTAACGTTGGTAGACAAGAAACAATATTACATGGATAACCATAAGAGCCATAGCTCGTACAAGTAAAACCAGTCCACTGTGTATAAGTACCACAGCTACAATTTTGTGTTGCTGAATTCCACTGATAATTTTGCGTACAAATACAAGTACCAGCTGGACAATACAAGTTACGTGTTGCATCACAACTACGTGAATTCATATAACACGTTACACCGTATAACAAGTATGGTTGTGTTATTACTTTTGGCAATGTTATCCAATATGCTAGTCCACCTATAACATTGAAAAATTTAACTAAAAGTGTAACGTGCAAATACGAAATATTCTCACCTATGAAGCCAACAAATATCGCTAATACTGTTACTATAACTGCTGCAGTTTGCCAAGGTTTTGTTAGTAGTCTTCCTTTATGTGCCAATCGTGTACGTTTTTCAATTCTGGCTAATTTTTCATTTTCAACTACAACTTGAACAATGGTTGTTTCTCCAACCTCTTGATCATTATTTAGTAATTTTTCAAATTGTATATTGCGAGCCGACATATCGGATTGTTCACGATTAGGCGAAGTTGGCATTCTTAGAAGATGCGTAGAACTATCTGACATTTTTTACTACGTTTGAGAAGGTGTATTCTAAAATGAGAGCAAAATGTGTCATTTTATACTCTAAATCACACAGACGATTAGAACTCAAGAAAGGTGTTTTTGTCTAACGCATATATCTACAAATAAGTTCGATATATTTTGTATTTTATGTCAGAAATTTTGTAAAGTAAAACCTCTTCTCACATCACTGACACAGAAAATGAATACAATGACGTTTTAAATTGCAGAAACCAGTAAAGACACTAAATCTACAGTTACAACTGACAACATGCGTCCGGATGACGATAGATCTTTTTC